TTTTTCCTTTCTTTTTGTTTTTTTTTCTTGAACTTGACTTGTAAATTATAAATGTTTCGGGAGTTGGGACAGTTCAGCGATAGGAATTCTAAAGCGCTTGCATAAATTGAAACAATAAAAACAAAAGAAAAAAGAAGCTCACCCAGGAAATGGAGTTGGCCTATCCCGACCTAAAAAGAAGTGAAACCTCCTTACCTCATATTCCAGATCCGCTTATGTATAGAAAGTCGTAAGTTATCAGTTAGTAGCCATTTAAGAGAAAAGAAGGTCTCACAAGTTGGATTTCCTTATTTATCAAGCGAGCGGTCCATAATAGCGTTGGGGCGCGCTCTGCCACGTACCGACGATCGCGGCGATCGCCGAGGGGATGAGCGATCGCCGCTGCTGTCGCGAAGTATGAACGCTGCCTAATCGGTCATTACTGGAAGAGAAAGGCAGCCAGGGTAGGGGCGCATCTCCTGACACCGCTCCGACTCACTGCGACGATATCAGCGATAGAGAAGATATGTAACTGTTTAATTAAACAAGTTCTCTATCAGAACTCGAATGGCTGTCCATGCAGCGAAAATGGATTTGATCTCAAGCAACCTTTTTCATTTGAAGATTTCCCTAAATTCGACGAAACACAAGAGATCCTCTTTCCTCCCAATTTGATTGTGAGTTTTTCATACTTTTGTGCTCCACAAAAAAGTAAAATTCTAGACAGAAAAGCCAGCAAGCGATTTGTACCTGGAAGGCGCACGAGTAAAATTGATCGCGCCTGTATCATGGAAGGAAATCGATGACTGCTTCAGACGGAATTACGATCAAGTGACGATTGTCTCATCAGGGCAAATAACCAGACTGGGTTAGTTTCTGTTCGAAGAGTGATAAGTTTGGTACTGCTGTACGGCGTCCAGACTTCACGATGACGCGCGTCTGCGCGCTGTAGCGCTCTGAGTTTGCAACAGCATCCCACTCCTCTAGACGCGAATGCAGCCGCAGATGCTCCCTACCGGTCAGTGCCGATCGATAGCAGACTGCGTGAGGCAACGCGCTCCCACATACCCTCATACTCTCTCAATACACAGGCGGCGCCAATCGATTCCCGTCCACGTTTGCGTTCGCGCCCATGGGATCGAAGCGCTGTTCTGGCGCACAAAGAATTTGGCTCGCATCGCCGCCGTACGCCGCGCGACAAATTACGATTGTCTTGTCCGTCTCCCGTTCAGTCCAATATTTTAGTGGCAGCACAGTCATCCCAACCACACGTCATGTGGCTGAGTGTTCATAATATACCAACCGTGAATGCTGTGGAAGTGAACGATCAAGAAATCCTGGTTGGTGCTGCCGTGAGTTACGCGGAGCTCATCAAAGCGATCAACGAATTTTGTGACCGGTCGATTGGACAACCGATCAGGAGGGTCTATAACAAATTTGCTTCACTACAAGTCATGAATATGGCGGTAAGTTATACAGTCGTGATCCTTGCAAATGAGGGGGCGTGTTACGAGGCTTGGATTGGAGCGCTGCCAAGGAAATTCTTCCATCAACGATGCCATTCGCAGCGATTGGCGGGAAGGGCCTACGATCCAACTCACGCCCTTTCCGACGCCCTATCGTCTGCAGGGATTATTCTTGTACCTGTTACCAGTTTCACATTAACACAAGATGTTGATAATACTGCGATAATTTAGAGCTGGGCTGGTGGCCTAATTACTGGAGCAGCCGAGATTTCGTCAATATTCCAAGCACTAAACATAAAAATAATAGTACGAGAACTGGGAGGTGCATTCACAGTTGGTAACGTATCGGATTTCATGAGCAATCAAGGACGTGTGAAGCTTGGAAGAGGTTCCATCATCGTGGCTGCCACATTCCCACGTTCGCAGGTGATCTCTGTGTTACTTTGGCTTTTTTAAAATGTAAATATGTGAACGAATTCTGATGGAGTTGCCCTCGAAGCTCATACAGGCAATTTCACTACGTCTGCAGGAGGTGTGTCAATGGATATAGTAGTTGTGAGCAGTTCACGTGGAGAGCTGCAAAATTCTATTCATTTGTCGATTGAGATAGCAAGAGTGCCGGAAGTCGCCATTTCTCACGCAGCCTGCGTTTTTTCACGCTATCTACGTATTGGCATCAGGGTACAGCATGGGGATGTGCGAAATGTCGGTGTGAGTACTACCCCCCCCCCCCCCCCTTCGAATGCGGGGTGCGAGTGCTTGCACGAAAAAATCAACTATCAAAATAAATTTGTCTTACAAATACGACCCCCCCCTCCCCAGAGCAAAAGTACGACCCCCCCCATGGGTTTCACACAAGGATGCTGTACCCTGTCTGGCATGACCGGGACTGTTCACCGCCTCCAGTCGTGTCCGTGGGTACCGCCCATTCCAGGCGCCGTGATATAGCCTGTATTGGAATGAAACCATTTTTTATTTCGAAAAGGGAAAATAAATAGAAGATCGGTAGAAGCATTCTGGTGATCTCAGGTAATAAGATTGTGAAATCAATGTTCAAAACCAGTTTATTCGCGAACCTGTTGATAAATGCAAAAACGTGTCAACAAACGGTTTTGTGCAAGTTTTTTTTACATGGGTTATGGGTTGTGAGCTACACGGTATTTGTCCAGTGGATTCATACCAAACCCAGTTACCAATAGTACGCGCGTCACTTCCGTACGCTCCATATCTCTGCGGCAATAAGGACTCCAAATCCCTGAGAGGCGGTAGGTGTGGCTGCGTACTTCGCTTCAACTTGACGGCAGTTGCGCTTTTGGTAGATGTTTTCATTTAAGAGAATTGTCATCGCTATTCAAAGCGAAATATTCTAGGAATATCCAATCCTACGCCATGCTTGAAGTAAATACGCAGACACGCCCCTCCTAATTTCTGAGAGGGTGCAGTGCTTATCTTAGCAGGACAAGTCGTTGTAGGGGATTCCCAAGCACGGGGGATTCGGTGAATTCCCCAACAGGTTGAAGTGGTTGTATTTCCCTTCCGACCTTCTGGGAAAGGTTGCTGACTTTTCGTGCGTATTTCCTGTTTTTTTTCAGTCTCACATGTGCTGCTACTCCTACCCCCCACCCCTCGATGGACAGCTCGATGAGGGGGGGGGACCAGGGGGGGGGGAGAGTGGGGTGGGGCCGTACGGACTCCACCTAAATCCCCAACTAGTGACACCCTGTATCGGAGCCCCGGGTAGAGGTCCCTAGGTAAATACGTTTTGGTTTTGTTTGTGGCACAAGCTTAGTTCCACCAATGGCCGTTCACCTACACTGGGCAAAGACTGGTGACAAAGAGCTGGCGCCGCGCCAAATGAAGGTGCGCAGGAACGCCCCCCACATGGCGCACCGATAGTGACTGTATATGAAATGATAACGTTTCAAAAGAAATTTTTCGATATCCTCGATTTTGAATTCAGAGTGATCTGCGTGTGTTCGTCTACAAACAAGGACTACGTCCAGGTGCCGATGCAACAGTTGTGAACTGCATTTGCGCGTTTCGAGTCACATATTTCATCGAAGAAGCTCGTGTTGCTATATCACTTGGCTCAGGATCAATATTGAGCAAGAGAGTCAGTCAGTTTCTACGCGGAAAGTAAGCTGTTTACTTGTTTATTATTCAAGCTTATCACATTCCATAACAAAAAATGACGAAACATACTGCAATATAAAAATGTTTCAAAACAAACAAGGAGGGTTCTATCATAAAGCAGAACAACTAGTTTCCCTCCTACAAGGATTGCATAGGAAAGTACTGTTTTAACCAGATGAAATAAGCTGTTAAACCAGTGAATTTCCAGAAATACTGCAGCTTAGAGATGTAGCTCATGGGAGCGCTTTCACGCTAATATGTTAGAGATGTAAGGCCTGTCACTATGCCTTTCTCAATGTACGGTACTCATTTGCAGAACAATGAGAAGAGCGCGCCAATGACAAGGCACAACGTTCGGTCAAACCCCGCCCACATGGCCAGAGTGGACTGTAACTTCGAAGGGAGACACGCAAACTGAATACAACCGAAGTGAAACTCCTATATACCTCAAGCAGAAACCCATTTGAATAAGTCGCAAATTCAAATTAGAAGTAATCCCGAGAAATGCACCAAGTGCGAAGACACAATTATCGATTCAATGCATAATCTTCTCAGTTTTCATGCTGCTGGTGCGTGTTGCGGTTGTCTCCTTCTGATTCCGCAACCTGAATTTTCGTATTAAAATATTTGAGCTGGCGTTTAAACGATACTTTGAAAAAAATTGGACTATCTGGGTCTGGCGTAGCGCACAATCAATATTTGCCATTGTTAAACCGGCATTTCTCACCAATGATGCCATCCTGAGTTTCTGCAGAAATTGGAACTGGACGGAAAAGGATGCCCTTCTACTTCTCCATTTCATTGTCCCTTTCCACAGCGCCCTGTTGCTTGTAAGGATAGTGGCTACATGTGATCAGAGACTATCTAGACACAGTGCTCACGGGTGCGTGCTGTGGAAGAGTGCATACGCTTTGGCCGTGGATGGCGCATCGGTTTAGCCCTGATTTCCATCAAACTGCTATGCTGCCCGTTTCATAGTGGCAGTGATTGATAGAAATAGCCTGGCGCCGCGTCCGACCGTGCGTACGCCAGGGCACGCCATCGTAGTGATGATAACAGCGAAGGGACGGGGTCGTATTTGACTCGATGTTTGTCCGAGAGAATTTTTCTTGGTAGCTGTTTTCTCTTTTTCCACGGGCGTATAGAAGGGGGTGGGGTCGTATTTGGTAGTTGTTGGGAGAGGGACTGCCAAAGATCTGTACAACTACTATTTCCGATAGTTGAGAATGATAGTTAAATCTGGATGACCTCCGTACCCCTCCCCCCACCCGCTCAACAGCAAAATTTTGGGGAAAAACCAGAAATTTTTCGGGGAAAAGTGAAAAAGTGTGTAGCGAAGTGAGAAAGTTAGCGAAGCGGGTAGCGATGAGGAACGGGAGTTCATATGCTTGGCATGGGGTGGAATGAGGGGGGGTCGTATTCTCAGGAATGGCCCCACGCGCGATGTACGCGCGCCCATAGCATACGCTAGGAATGCCACGCTTCCTGCTCCGCGGAGGCGTGCTAAGATAATACATTCTTTCAAGTAACGCTTTCCACTGCATTCACTCACTTTTTCCTGCTGCTGGACATGAGCCTGTCCTTGTTCTGCTTGAGTCTGGTGATGCTGCTGTTGCTGCTGCACCGGTTCTACCATTTCCTGTTGTTGTTGTTGTTGTGCTGTTGCTGCTGCTGCTGTTGTTGCTGCTGTTGCTGTTGCTGTAATCTCTCCTGTTCCTGTTGTTCCTGTTGCCTCCTCAACATTTCTTCTTCTTCTTTCTGCTTCTGTAATCTCAGTCTCTCTTCTTCTTGTTGTTGTTGCTGCTGTTGTTGCCTCAGTCTCTCCTGCTCTTCTTGTTCTTGCTGCTGTCTCAGCCTCTCCTGTTCTTCTCTCTCCCGTTGTAGTCTCAGTCTTTCCTCCTCCTCCTCCCGTTGCAACCTAGCTTTTTCTTGTTCCCTTTGCATTCTCAACTGCTCTTCCTGCTTTTGCTTTTCAATGGCCAATCTCTTTTGCTCTTCTTCTTCTTCTTTCTTTTTCCGTTCCTCTTCTTCTTTTTGCTTCTGCTGTAGCTCCATTCTCTGTCTTTGCTCCTCTTCGTGTTGCTCTTGTAGTTTCAGCCTTTCCTCTTCTTCTTTTTGCTGTTCTGCTCGGTTTTCTCTCTCCTCTTCTTCTTTTTGTTGTTGTAGCCTCAATCGTAGCTGCTCTTCTTGCTCTTGTTGCTGCTTCCTCAGTTGTTCTTGTTGCATCTCTCTTCTTCTTTTCTCTTCTTCTTCTCTTTGCTGAAGCTGTTGCATTCGCTTCTCTTGCTGCTGCTTGATTTGCTCCCGTCGCATTCGCTCACGTTCATCTACTTGTTGCTGTCGCTGTTGTTGTTGTTCGGCTTGCTGCTGTTGCCGCCGCGTTTGCTCCTGTTCTTGCTGGCTCACACGTTCCTGCTCATGCTGATGCTCGCGCTTGTGCTCCACTGTTTCTTCACTCATTGACGGCGGAACGTTTCTTCCTAAAACTAAATGTTCAATCTATCAAGTGCGTCGATAGGAAATTCTAAGACTGAAGGAAATCAAGATTCAGCTCGCCACTTTGCCTTGAAAGGTAAATTTCAGGAGTACAGCATCCGTTGTATAGATCTTGCGGGGTCGTGAATGGCCGCTGGAGTGTGGGGTAAAGATTGGCCCCAAAATTTGTTTTGATTTTTCTTTTTCCGGGCGAAGTTCGATTCGAGAATCGCTCTAGCTGCAAAGCATGAACGTGGGCTAACGTACCACGGCTGCACTGTGTTCAGCCAACCAGTGTCCTCCCGCGACTCGCCATTTAGGAACATCATCGTTGGGATTCCCCAAAAGGAAAAGGTGTCTATGTGGTCGCCGAAGGTGAAGGGGATATATTTGTCTGAGAATTTTCTTTGGTGGTTGTTGTTCTTGTTTTCGGCAAAGTGTAGAGAGGGTGGCGGAAGTCGTATTTGCATCCTTGACTGCGGAGCGGGGGGGGGGGGGGGGTCGTATTTGGTGTTGCGGTGTTGGGAAAAAAATTTTTCTGCCTGTGGAGTTTTCGCGGTTTCTCCTGTTCTACATGGGCCATATAACTTCCCGCTCAACAGCAAAATTTTGGAGGAAAGATAGGAAAATTTTCGGAAAGACTGGTAAGAAGGTAAGAAGTTTGGGAAAATCTGGGGAAATGGTACGTGGGATGAGAGGGAGAGGGTCGTATTTTCCTCGCGACTTTTCCCTACCAGGTGCGCAATATACTTCCTCTCCCCGCCCCTCCAACTGAGGAAGTGCCCTGGTAGGGATATACACCTTTAACTTCTTCGATCATTGAATCACCTGTCAGAGTGTCCTTTGCAGTGGAGATGAGCTGTTGCACGTCTTGTCCCGAAAAATATATACCCTGAAAAATGAAATGTTGAAGAGATGCATGAACGTCGTCCACGAAAAACGAGAGCATCTCACACGCAAGTTTTTTTGAAGGTGCTGTAATGTAAGGGTAAAAGGCACCGCTATAGCATGCGAAGCTTCAACTCATGACTTTTGAAAGGTTTTGAAGGCTGTCACCGAGCCCTTGGGCGATCTCAGCACAGATCCAAGCTAACCCCTAGCCCGAACCCCTCAACAAGGTTTTGAGTCTTGAACTGTGGAGTAGTTCAAGAGGCGACCGCCGAGAGAAAAGAATTGGTAGGGTTATTTCATAGCTCTCATTCCGTTGTTCGTGTAGCCATATGAGTTTCAGCTGATTCGATACCCGTCCGACTTCAATTATCCAAATTTCGTAACCACAATGCTGGTAGCATAGGGGTACGGTATTCGTCGGGTCAACACCAATTAGACATAATAGGTTGTTGAACTACAATATCATCATGTGGTGATGATCCATAGTTGGTAGCTAGCCAATATACTTGCTAAATGGGCCGGTCGAGAGGATTTAGCGCGTGTTTACTGCCTGCGATCTTCAACATGACGCTCAACACGTCAACCGGATGGCAGAGCCCCGAATTCTCTATTCAGAGTGACCTCAGAAGATGGGTCTTCCCGGTCATGGAGTTTTCTTGCAAGAAAACAACAGGAAATGTAGTTGTGGGCTATGGTACAAAAGCCATTGAGCTGGAAGGGTGGGGCGGATTAGGGAGCGGGTTCGAATCGCGCCTGAGGTCTACTTTTTGCCCATAAATCAGCGTGAATTGCGTTCTTGTGATCACTTTCGGAGCGCGAACAACGGCGTTAGACAGCTGTAATCATAATGAAACAGCTTCATCAAATGTTGCTGATGAAGTACTGTTTATGGTCTTCAATGAGACGGTATTTTTCAGAAGTGGAAAGCACGTCCAGCTTCCCAGGGTGGTCAGATAGAGTGGTGGATTGTGAGCTGGGCTATCATTAGTAGTAACAGTGAGTTGTGAGGTGGAGATCCTTGTGAGGTCTTTCGGGCCTGTTCTTCGTTTGGACAAAATGTTCAAACATGTACGAAAACAGGGAAACGGAACTTATAAAATCACGGAAATTTGCCCTCGTGGGAAATCGGACCATCGTCGTCGTTTGAGTCTTTAAGATTTTCTACTTACCACTGGTTGTAAACCTAATAGTTCACTGATAATTAGAGAATCAGTCACTAGCGAGTACCACGAAGAGGTTAGTCGCTCGCTTAGTCGATCTTGTACATCAGTTCTTGACCCCCCCCCCTAGAGCTTAGCAAGCTAGTCCGGTTGCAAAGCGGCCACCAACATAGTTCTTTCGAGGGTACTCCAGACAAACGACTTACACCATAACACTTACTCACTATGACCATATCTAAAC